GGAAGAAGTGTTGCTGACTTTTGTTGAAAACCGAGCGTGAGTGATTGGCGCTGTCGAAAAAGCAAACGATCACTCGAGTAGCTACCCGGAGAAGGGACGATTGCCGGCACAGATGGTGGGACTAATTTGAGGCATGCAGCCTAGGACACAGAAGGATCTGGCATAAATTTTACCAGCGTCTTGGATTACCATCGCCTAACGTTTTTTTTTTTTTCCCCCGATGAAAATTTTCCAGGAAATCTTAGACGATCTGCATTCAACAAGCAGTAATGGAAGTCGAACGAACACTGTAAGTTACCGTTACGCATCACTCTGTGACGTTTCTGAAGCTTGAGTAACTCCTAGAGATTAATAAGAAGATAAAATAAAATAACATATTTTAATGTTAAAAGAACTAAGAAAATGTTGAAAATATTTTTAATGGTAAGAAATGTTTCGGTCCATTAAGAATCGTATACATTTCTTACCATTACCACAATTGGATCTCGTCAGTACGACGATTGTGATAATTAGTATGAATTTGATTAAAATTTAAATTGTTTTATTAGAGTGGGGTAGATAAAGTAATAAGTTAAGTGGGTAATAAAGAGGAAGAGTGAGTGAAGTTGATATATAGAAAAAATCTTACCGTGGAGGGAGTTGTTGAATCCATTTCCGTTGCAGATAGGTTTTTAATATCTTTAGCAATATCTTTCGTATATACTGTGGGTTCCAATCTTCACTATCGCTTGATATTTGCTAGTGAAATAGCAGTTATAATGTTGCTTAAGCATTATAGCTTACGTCTAAACACACTTCTTATTTTCAGCTTTTGATTAGTATAAAAACACCCATTTTCTGCTCGAAATGATGCTCATTTTTTTATATTTCGAATTTTTATGATTTTTAGGCCGATTACAGTAAGGGAAGGAGCAATGGGGACATTTTTTAACCTCTTTTTTTTTCCAGGAATCCGACTTGCACTGGCACCTCAGTCTGTGCGTTAGCATATGAGGGAGGTGTTGCAGTGATGTCCGATCGTCTTGTTTCGTACGGCAAAACGGCTCGCTATCGGCATGTTACACGTCAGTATCGCGTGAACAATCATACGATCGTGGCATTCGGCGGTGATCATGCCGATTTTCAGTGGCTACAGAATGTCATCGAAAGACAGGTACATTGTTGTCACTTATTTTATAAAACTTCCCTGGAAAATTTACCATCTGTATGTGTGTGTGTGTATGTGCGTGTGTGTGCGTATGTGTATGTGTGTGCGTGTGTGTATGTTTGCGTGTGCGCGTGTGTGTGCGTATGTGTGTGTGCTTTAAAAATTTTATGAAATTGGTAACCGAGGTCACGTACGTATTCCCTTTAACAATTTTGTACAGTTGTTGATTAGAAAAGCTTTCCACGTATTTCGGACCCATGCTTGGTTTGAATATGGTAACGGAGCATGTGGAACAGCCAAAATAATGCGCAAGTTCTTGCAGCTCCAAATCTTCCTGTGTTTGGATGCTAGGAACTGTCGGTTGATAATGTGGTAAAGGTGATGCAGCAGTGGGCAAAATGCAAAAAAAACATCCTGAGCATGAAGCGGACAAAAGCAGGCCTCAGTGCTCTATGAATCTTATCGTGACCCTAACAGTTAATGTTTTTAGACTAGTGGTGTGCCCTGTGTGTAAGGGTGTGTGTGTGTGTGTGCGTGTGTGTGTGTGCGTGTGTGTGTGTGCGTGTGTGTGTGTGTGAAACGCCTAGTCATATATACTCATTTATAAATACACCACAGAATATTAAAAAGGTAATACAAAACATGGTGGTGAGGTTCTGGGGAGCCGAAGCTCCCCAGAGCAGGAATAAAAGCCAAATAGATAGGTCGAGAGTGGTGATGAGTTAGGGTCCTCCTGGCGATGGAGAGGAGTGCTTTTATACCCCAAGGGTCACCGATTACTAAGATAGCGAAACTTTAACGAGAGTAGGGTGTCCAAAGTTTGAACCAGGGATAGGGGTATTGCGTCATAGTAACGCAGTTGTTCTTTAACCTACTTTTAACAAAACCCGTCAATCATTATTTGATGTATTATAGGACAATCTCTTAATTCTAAAAACTTGCGCATTGCAAATGTATTTTAGTTTCTTTTTTTAATAATTGGCATTGATAGAACTTTCTGATAGTACTGTCAGTTGTCTTTTTTTTTGGAAAATAAACAGGACGAGTTTTCGTTTCATCATTAAGCCGGCATTTGCAGACATGTGAGCTAAAATCGCACGATCCCGAGGCAGATCTAAGCCCAAAAATGCTGCATGGCTTTCTCACATCGCTACTGTACTATCGTCGCACTCGAATGAATCCAGTTTGGAACACGCTGATTGTTGCTGGAATGCAGAAACAAAAAGAACAATTGGAACCGTTTATTGGTGTTATTACTGCAAGGTTCACTTTAATATGCCGTATAACAGCCTTTTTCTAAGTCAGTATGTAGGCGCATTTCACTGAAATTGAATTATTATTATTATTATTATTGTTATTATTATTATTATTATTATTATTATTATTATTATTATTATT